TGATTTCAGAGAGAGGAAGGGAGAGGGAGAGATAGAAACATCAATGATGAGAGAGAATTATGCATGCCCCTTACTGGGGATCGAGCCCGCAACCCGGGTATGTGTCCTGACAGAGAATCGAACCATGACCTCCAGGTTCATAGGTTGGTGCTCAACCATTGAGCCACACCGGCTGGACTCAGAGTTACTTTCTGAACCTGTTATGGGGGTGAGGACAATTACTTTCTGTTACTCATCTACCTATATATCAGAGATTTTTTTTTAAAGCCAGTTAGGGTTTCATCAATTATTGCTCCTTTTCTCCAAGAATGGGTATTCCTGTCACATGTCCCAGTGTCCTTGGGGAAAGTCAGACTTGGGCCCTGTTTTGGGAGAAGCAGCTCATGTCTTCATACCAAACAGTGGAGGAGATGGAGGTTAGTAGGAACTGGGTGTGACCTGGTCCAGCCATAGCCTTCCAGACCTCATAGAACATGAGACTGTGATCTGGGATCAGAAGATTTGATCCATAAGAGACTTTAGAGATTATCTGGTTTCTTTCTCTCGCTTTATAGAAGAGGAAACTGAGCCCCAGAGAGGGGGGAGAACTTTTCTAGGGCTCTGCTTTTACTCCCCAAAGGGCTAGGATTCTGAACAGCCTGTCTGTCTGTCTGTCCCTCCAGCCACCCCTGAGACTCCACAGCCCTCACCACCAGGTGGCTCAGGGTCTGAGCCCTACAAACTCCTGCCAGGAGCCATCACCACAATTGTCAAGCCCCCCTCTGCCATCCCCCAGCTGACTATCACGAAGCAAGAAGTCATCTAGCAAGTCCCCGGGGTCAGGGGCTCTGCTGGCCCTCCAGTCCCCTCTGAGAGCCCCTGGTAGTCACTTGGTCACAGGGCTGGAAGCTGTGACAGTAGGGCCAGTCCCAAAGCAGTAGTGAAAAGGGCAAAGGGCCCAAGAACTTGGGCTGTGGGCCACAACACATTGCCCCCCTCCTCTGCTCTGGACGATGGGGCCTTGACTTGGGGAGCTCCCAGCTGGAGAATCCTCTGCTGCCTTGGACAACGTTTCTCTTGCCGAAGCCACTGCCTTCCCTTCATCCATATCTACCCCCAGCTGCTTCACCTGCTGCCTAGAGATGATGTGGGACCTCGCTCAAGCCCAGCTCTCTTCCCCTCAGGCCGGTACTTCTCCCTGAGTGCTGTCATCGTGTCCAGGCCCTTTTTCTCTCTTTGCTCCCCAACTCTGAGGGATGAATGTCAAGATTCTGCCATTCCAGGAGTGGGCCAGTTGAGGGGGGGGGGGGCAGGGGAAGGTCTGGGTTTAAGACTTGCTCTGGGGAGCATCACTCAGGGTACATTCTGGAGCCATTAAACCCCAGGATGAAACAGCCCGTGCCTCCATCCATACAGAATATTGGTGACTTTGGGAAATTCTGAAAAATGCCACTTGCCCATGGCAATTAAAGCTGGGACCAGACCTGGGACCAGAGCTGTGCTTTGTAGGAGGATGAATAGTTAGACGGGTTATCTACCCCCCAGCCAGGACTGACCCTTCTGAATAGATGGGGCAGTACCCCAGTGCCTCCCAATTCCATCATTAGTGATTGTTTCTTTTGGCAAAAGAGGCATAATGGGTATTTGGACAGTATGTCCAAGAGAAATCTCTGCATCTCCAGTGCTATGAGGATTGGCCTTCCCCACTCCAGCAAGCCAAATCCCCAATCCCAGGAGTGTTCCCTGCTCTGAGCTCTCCAGCCTTCCTTAGCCACATCTCATTTCAATTCCCCAGAAATCCCAGCCAGGGGGCTCAGGCTGGTGTGGGGTGAGGTAGGGAAGCTGGAGTCATTCTGCTCATCATGGTCATTCCTACTGTTTGCTCTTCCACCCCCCAATGTCATGGGAGGCAAGCTGAGGTAAGAATTTCCCATGGGGTGGAGTCGGGCAACAGTGGCTTTTAATGGTAGCAATTATCTGGGGCAGGGGGCAGTCCTCTGCCCAAGTCAACTCTTCCTGGAGGAGAAATCCATTCCACTTTTAGAATTTTATTGCAATTATAGGAAACAAAATAAAGACAAGTTTACTTTCCTGATTCTAAACTGAGGACACCACATTGGAATTTTTGTCTACCTGAGTTGTAGTCCTAAAACAAAATCTGATGGACTAAAAAAATGGTTGGGAGGGCAACCATGGACCCTATAATTCCTCCACTGAGACAACTCCTTCTCTAGGCAGCTCTCAGAAGCTTCCAGAGTCCCCGTGACTTTCCTAGAGGGGACAGGGAAGGGAGGAAAGGGTTGTACATGGATGCTCCTAGATTTCTTGTGATGATCAAGCCAATTACTTTTGCCAGATTGCTCTGTGATTTGCCCTGATTGGGATGAAGTGTGAAATTCACATCCAGCAGTTCTGAAAGTGGGTTGGGTTCTGGCAGATCCATCAGCATCTTCCCGGGGTGTGAATATCATTAGGTCCTGTGCTGACACCTGAGCCCTGTCACTGCCACCCAATGGGGCAAACAAACAAACAAAAAACATTTATTGTGTGTTTTAACAAAAGTGTATAAAGCTAAATAAATGGCATGTATGTTTTCTAAGTCCTTGGGTGGGTGTCTTTTCTTCCTTTCAGGTGTTAGAAATAAGAAAGAAAATAGTCTCCTACTGTTCAAAGGGCTCTCAAAGCCATTATTGTTTAATCTTCACATCAAGAGGTAAGCAGGTTAGACATTGTTACCACCACCACCACCACCACCCACTTTATAGACGGGGAGCAGAGGCTCAGGGGAAGTGATTTTCCTTAAGAGCCAGAAGTGGGAATCTGACTCTGGTCCCTGGATTTTGAGAACTCAGTATGTGGAGACATGAAAGTCGAAAAGGGAGGGGATGCTGGAAAGATCTGAAAGGATGGCAGGAGGGTCCAAGGGTCTGTCATCTACCATCGGGGTCCAAGATGGAGCCCTGATCTGGGTCCTGGGTCAACCTGCCAGCATTAAGGGACAAGTAGGCATGGGGAAATTTCATCAAAGCAAGTGTTGTTTTGAAAAAGAATAAAAGCAAGGGAGCCCTAGCCAGTTTGGCTTAATGGATAGAGTGTTGGCCTGTGGACTGGAGGGTGCTGGGTTCGATTCCGGTCAAGGGCACATGCCTGGGTTGCAGGCTCAATCCCTGGTAGGGTGTGTGCAGGAGGTAGCCGATCAATGATTCTCTCTCATCATTGATGTTTTTATCTCTCTCTCCCTCTCCCATCCTCTTTGAAATATATATATATGTATATATATATATTTAAAGGCAAGGGATGCACTTGAGTATTCCAGCCAGGTTCACAGCCACCTTGGTCTTGTCCTCTGATAAACTAGCCACCAAGGACCACAGCCTCACATTCACTCAGAGGTGTGCTGGAGCTGGCTTGTGAGAGCCAATTGTTAACTACTCTTCCCAACTCTCTGTTGGGCAATGTCGCAATGATAGCAGCGGTGGAAGCATTTACACCACAGGAACTGGCAAACACTATGAATCAAGGCTTCCCCCTGGAGAGCTGGTTGTTAACCAGCACACCATGGCATTCAGTGATGGGTGAATGGGAGATTGCTGACGGCTGGACTGTGGGGTGCCTAGGTGTGCTGTCACTCAAGGATGAGGGTGGAGCATAGTGACCCTTTTCGTTCTTTCCCAACAGAGGGATTGGCAGTTCCAGTCCGGGAGTCACACCTGGGTGATTCATTGTAACCTTGGTCTGGTCACTCCATCCCTCTGAGCTGCATCTGTGACATGGGAATGATCCCTCCGTGCAGGGGTGTTGTCAGGATTAAATGGAATGAGATCTTAGTAACTATAAGAGCTGTGTGTGTGTGAGGTGCCCAAAGTGTCCACCACCAGGGACTCAGTGAGTGTGAATTCTTCAGCCAGTGCCTTTCTAGTGAGAGGCTGGCCATTGAGTTCTTCAGCCTCAAGTGCACCATTAGCTGCCGGCCTTATCCCGGGGCCACTCCTGCCTCCCCCTGTCCCTGCCCACTCGTGAGTACCAGGAAATGTTTTCCTTAATGTTGCAACAGAAGCCCCATCCGTGCTGCTGCCAACATGGACATGGGGGCGGGGGCCAGAGGAGACGATTGCAGCCCTAGAGTGTGCTTAATAAGTCCCTATCAAAACCATAAACCCTGCACTGCCATAAATTCCTCTGGCCTTGGTTCCTCCACCTCATCAACCCTTTGCCCCAGTTAATCTCAAATCTCAGTGCTGGTGGCCAGAGCTTGGTTTCCATTTCAGTTGCAAAACATCAGCTTGGGAGGCAAACAGCAAATCCTATTATCCTCATTTTAGAGGTGATGAAACCAAGGTTCAGAGAGGTGAAGGCACTTGTATAAGGCACATAGCTAGAGAGCAATTGAGCCAGGACTGGAGCCTGTGCTTCTCCCAACCCATGTGGCCTTGTTGAGAATGGGGAAGGCTGCTTCCCCAACCACAATACTAGAAGCTTTTCATCCCGTATTCCAAATGGAACCCCACTACTCAAAGAGCAGGAATGAGAAGTGAAAGGGACTCTGGGTGATAGACAGGCTGGGTGAGGAGCCAAAGGAAGTTCCATGCAGCGTGAATGGCCTGTCATCCCAAACCCGTGGCATTGTCGTACTTCCTCTTTTGTGGAACCCAGGTCACCTTTGATCTCCATTTCTGGAATCAGTGTGTCATATGTAAATGCCAAGACGTGATCTAAGACCTGAATCACAGGATCCCGTGCAGCTGTTTGATGATGGGGGAGCGAAAAACCAAATCCTGATGCCAAGGGCAATGTTTGTTGACCTCTTTGTTAAGCATTACTGGACATAATTGAATCCCCACAACAACCCCGTGAGCCAGCTATTCTTGTTCTCTTTTATGAACGAGGAAACTGAGGCTCCGAAGAAGGAACTGTTTCTTCATACATCAACAGCTGAACTTCAGACACCCGTTGTCTGGCTCCAGGGGCCACCGTGGTAGAATGGAGGAGGGCCCTGATGAGTTAGTCTGCGTGGTGGCACAGAAGTGGTGTGGGCTGTGAGAAGTTCATCATTTGACAAACGGTGACGAGCAGATACCTGCACCAAAGCGTCCTGGGGATTATGAAGAGCCAGCACCACCAGGAGCCTCCCTCTTGGCACTTAGAGTTTTCACTTGTGGGAGAAAATAACAAGCAGCTGAATATTGAGAGGCTAAGGAGTGAGGGTGACAGCTGTTAAGACGATGGATCGAGGAAGGGAGAGATTACTGCGGTCTGGGAGAGAGAGTGGTGTGCACATGCAGGAGAAGGATTGAGAGGCAGCAGTAAGGGAGAGAAAAGACAGAATGAGAGGTTGAGGGGAGAGAGCGGGCAGTGGGCTGGGCAGGCAGCAGGAAGCACAATCTGTGGGCTGCAGGGAGGACGGAGGCCAGCGCTTTCCAACCTTCTGTCATCGCACACTTGCACTCCACCTTGATCCGAGCCACTCCGAGGACCGCTGTACCTTCCGCTACTTAACATTTTTCTTGAAATCAATTCATAATTACTGTCTTTACCCTCATCACTGACATAAATGGGAAACCAGTGTCACGTACAATAAATAGGTGATTGAAAAATGAAAATGAAAACAATATTTTTAAGGTGCAACCAGAGAGGATTGCCCAGGAAAGCTCTGCTCTTTCTTCTTCAAACGAGAAATTGACAGGTATTTAGAGAGATGTTAAGGGCCTATGCTATCCAATGGAGACTCTCTCCACGTTTTCAGAAGGAAGTAAGCCCTATAAAGGACAGGCTTTGAGGATAATGGCATTTCGTACCACCGTCCCTGTGTATCCCGAGAATCACTCCGCATGCCACTGAAGTCCTCATCCCACACCTGGGCCAGGTGGTGAGGGCTTCAAGCACTGGACATTTGAAGGCGGGGGAAGGCTTTGGCCAGATCTGTGTTTTTAAAAGATCATTCTGGCAGCTTTGTGGGGGACGAGGTGTCTATGAGGTGGTTCAGGGGAGAGATTATGGCAGCTTGGGCTAGAGTGGTGTGGTAGGTGGACAGAATTCAAAGGTGCCCCAGGGGACCCTCTGGTCTATCCAC